CGAGGGGGGCTGTCCAGCAGCGCTCGGGTCTCGGCCGTGGGACCCGGCGGACCTCGGAGCTGTTCCCGTCCCTGCCGCAGGCTGGAGTTGACCTTGTGCCAGGCGCTCCATGCCTGTGGCTCGCGGACCTCCATTTATAAATGTCATTGCCATGATGCAAGCGCGGCGGTGGCACCGGACCGTCCGCAGATGGAGACAACCTGTCACGGCAAACAGTGCAACTGGGGGAAAGATACGGGTAAATGCAGTTTCCTTCCTCTTATTTGCAGGGGATAGAGTTTGCCCCTTCTCCCGGGTACCAAACAGGTGAGCTTGCTCTTTTTTTTTTTTTTTTTTAACCACCACCCGGTCAGCACTAAGTCTCCCCGAGAGCCAAATCTGCATTTCAGAGGCAGACTACCAGCTCTTTTGGCTTTAGAAACCTGTGGCTTGCTCCATCCGTGTCACGCTTAGCTTCTGAAAGCACAGGGAAACTCACGACCGTGTACTTTCTACTGAAATAACTCGAAAATGGGGCTAACAGGAGAGTCTGCTTCCATCCTTCCCAGGGCAAGTGCCTGTCTTTCACTTGAAAGCCCTTTGTCAGTGCTAAATATCATTAACCAAGCTTTTATAATCATAGTATCTGATGCCTTTGCTGGCTGCAAGCCATGTCCTTAGCCTACACTATCTCATAGCAGCACATATCTAGAGGAGAACATTCCCCTCTTTACCCCTCCTCCCAGTTGCTCCAAACTAGCTGGCACTACCCAGTTCAGGCTCTGGACATTTTGACCAGCTGACTGTGGCTGCCTTGTTTGGCTCTGTCCTCAGCAAGGAGGTGAATATGATTTAAACGTCACTTAATCCTTTTTCATTTCTCACTCATTAGCATTGAAGATGGCTGTTGTAAAAGGAAGCATATTTTTTCCCTTTATGTGAAGATGGCTGTCTCACAAGGAAGCATATTTTTGTTTCATATTATACATAACTGAGGTAAGGAAAAACAACTGCCCAGAGAATACACCTTTTCTTTAAAAAAAAAAAAAAGTCAGGAATCGATGTTTACCTTTGTAATAGTAAAATGCTTCTTGCTGAAATTTCTTTTTCAGTTATTAGAATGAATTATTCATCCCTGGGATTATTTGAATCATAATTATGATTTATTCATTTTCATGGTTAACTATTGAGAAATCCTTTAAAAAGAGCTTTTGAGAGGGATGGATGGAAAAGTTCCCAAGGTTTATAAGAGGATACAGGGCATGTCTACATTGCTGTGACTGACCTCACCCTGTGCTGGGTTTAAACGAGCGAGCTCCAAGCAGCATAGCAGGAACAACGTTCCACCACGGTTTGCAGGATGATTTTGCAGCCCCTAGAGTCATTTTTGCTGCCACAGCTCTGGTCTTCACGTTACCTGAGCGAGCAGTGTTACAGAATTCTGTGATTCTGTGAAAGACAACTGAGGTGCAGTCCCATCCAGCAATCCCTTCCCACCACAGCTGACCTCTGAGCAGACACTCAGGCTGCTCCACGCTGCCTGTGCTCGCTCCTGAAAGCCCCTCAGAAGCCACTGGCTTTCCCTCTGTGCACTTACCCTGCACTTTAGTCTCGGTATTAAATCCAGAAGCAATGTGTAACTCAACTCTTTTTAGAACGCAGGCTGTTCCCAAAGTGCTCTGCACCACAGTGCCTGTGCAGCCCCACCCTCACTTCTATATTAAGAGGAGATGCCAGCTGCCACCATTCAGCCTCCGTGCGGATCCTGCTGGACCAGCAGCTCCCAATGGCACACAGTTTGCAAAGCTGGAGAGGAACAGCAATGGGAGATGTGGAGATGTGAGGGAGGGGCAAGAGGCGAGCCCCAGAGCAGCACTCCCAAAAGCCACAGTGCTGTACCATAACAGAGAGATTTGGCTGCTGGGTCTCCAGCCAACTCCACAAGGCCACTGCTACCTGAAAACATGCCACTGCCTCACAGGGAAGCTTAGTGACAGCGTTCACATCTCCGAGCTCAGGTATGGCATGTCACTGTGGTTCGAGAGTTCACAATGACCACATCCTGCCCCAGTCTATAGCAGTCATTAATGCCCAGGTGCACAAAAATCCCTTCACAAATACATGGGAAAAAAATTGTTGTTGACTGGCACAGCAGGACACCTGATTCTGGGTTCCTATCCTACTCCAGAAGCTGGAAGGACATTGTCCTCCCAGGCTTGGTCCTTACAGCCACCTGTGAATCTGCAGCACAACAGTTCATTTTCAACAAGTCAAACCATTCCTTGGATGTCTTAGACACCCCTGAAGGTGGCTCAGCATTTTGGGTAACGCTGCCACCCTTTGGGTTCTCTTTAGCTCCCTTTTGCAGGGTTTGATGTGCTCAGCACTGCAGCTGCAACAAAATCGTGTCTGCATAGGATTTTCTCAGGAAAGCCAAATTCAAAGACTCTCAGGATAAGCACTCCAAAACCAAGATACCCCAAGCTGGAATCTAGATTTGAGTCTTGCACATGCAGAACTTCTTACCCACTTCCTGCCTTTCTGTGTTTCCCAGTCACCCCATCTTCTCCTGAACTTTCCAATTCTCTCCTCCATGGTTTCTGGGCTACCCCTATCTTCTGCTTTCCATATTCAGGCACTTTTCCCAGATATGGAGCTTCTCCTCCCCTCTGACTTCTTCACTTCCTTGAAGGCCAGTATCAAAGTACTTTTTCTATCCCTTTTCCAAAAAATCCTATCAGGATTGAAGCCTGCCCAGTAAGCACTGAAGGTGTTGCCTGACCATCTGGCTCATGGGGAGAAGGCACTGGGCAACCAGGAGAACAATTAGAGATGCTTTGCCTGTGTGACATCTTGTAGTACTCATCCACATCAAATGAAGAAACAAGAAGAAAACCAAACAGCCCTCCATACCTGCAGTATATTTTGGTGATCAAAACGCCTCTGAAATCATCCATCAACACCTTAACATGCAGCCTGAGAGGCACAATGAAACCTCCTACAGCCTGGAGGCCCTGAGGCAGAATTCATCTCCCAGGAGCCAAAATATTCCACATACACAAAATAAATCCCCATGGTCTAAAAAGAGCAATAGACAGGGAAATTAAAAAAAAAAAATAAAATGTAATAGCTGGCAGAGCATCCCCATTTGAAATGGTAATTTACACTTATGCACAGTACCAATTACAGCCAGCTTCATACTTCTTCACTTACTCAGAGCCATAAATACATAAATGAGAGTGCTGAACAGGGGAGGGAAGCAGAATTAGCTGGAGCCCTGAAGCTGCTAGGCATGCCACTCGGAAACAGGAGCTCTCCTGCTCTGTTTGGTTACCAGAAAACAGGAGCAAACCTGAAGGATGTTTGTTAACATCCTTCCAGGCATCAGAGCAGTCAGCTGCTTATGGCATCAGATGTTAGTGGCCAGATTCTCTGGTGCCTTCAGCCTCTTTATTCTGCTCCAAGTGAAGGCGTGGGTCTGAAATGTTTCTCTCTCCATTTCTCAGAATGCCAGACGCACTTATGATAGGAAAGAGGAGTGATTTCACTGGATGTGGCTTTCACATTCCCATTACACTGTAAGAGGGAAGAAACTATGCAATTTGTGCAGCTGCAGATCTCAAAGCCTCAGATGGCAAAAGGATGAGTAGTGATCAGGCATCTAATGACACCCATGTATCCATCACGCTGCCATTTCCACCACTGCCCCAATGGACAGGGATAAAAATTCCCAGTTTTCCCAAGACAGAAGCAACCCTGATTGTTATTTGGTAGGAAACCATTAATCCCAGTCATAAAATCATAGGATGGTTTGTGTTGAAAGGGACCTTAAAGCTCATCCAGTTCCAACCCCCTGCCATGGGCAGGGACACCTTCCACTATCCCAGGCTGCTCAGAGCCCCATCCAACCTGGCCCTGGACACTGTCCCTGTACTACACTTTGAATAGGAGGTTTGTGCCACTGTTGACTGATGGAAGACTTGCTCTTCCATGATAAGCTGAAGATGACTGCATCACCCTGGAGTATTCCTGGAACTCTGTCTTTTCTGTGCATCGAATAAGGACAGGTTCTTGTACTGGGAAAAGCATACCACGGTGTAACTAAAGATTTTGCCACAATCCTGGAAATAAAGGGAGAAGGGGAAGGGAAAGCAGGTTGTACTAGAAACTTTCATGCAAGTATTTCCTAGCTTTCAAGGACTTACCTCTGTAAAGTGCCTTCAACACTGTGTTTGTCTTGGGTTTGCAAAAAACTAAGATCGAAAAGAAGTTCCCCAAACTTCTATCTACAGTCGAGTAACTTTGAACCTTTTTTTAAACTTCTATTTAAGTTTCTTAAGTATTTTCCATGTAAATATGTTGGGTTTTTTTAAGATGCCTTTCATAGAGACATCCTGTAGATGTATGTCTGGGACTTCAGGTTTCAATTTATTACAATATGAAAAACCTCCTGGCCTCTCAGACAGGCACAGTTTTTAGGTTCATAGCACACTCCTGTGCTGTATGAGCAAATGAATGAGTGTGAAAGAAAATAACAACAGTATGCAGACCTATCACCAGAAAATGATGGAGGGTTTCACAACTACTTGTCAGGCACCTTAAAATTCCTGAGTTGTACAAACACTGTGTCAAGTCCTGCAGTATCAGATGCAACTGCTTTGAGATCCCTGTTCACCCTTCAGCTGGACTTTGTCCTCTTTTGGGTCTGTTCAACCCCTTTTGCTCCTCCAGTCTGTCATTCAATATCCATCCTTTGATTTATTTCCATCCTACAGTCCTTGAGCTGGTCCCAAGTGTTTATCCTGCCATCCTGTGCCTTGGCTCCTGCCCATGTCCCATCCTCCTGTTCGCATTTTCTATCTTCTCTCACCCCTTGCAGTTCACTGTTCCATCCTTCCTCATTTCCCATCCCCTCCTGCTCCTAATCCTTTTGTTTAACTTTGGCTCATCCTGAACCCAAAATATTTCTGCAGAGCCCCACCTGTACACAAGAGAAGGGCATTATTTCCAAAATGAAAAGCAATTATTGAAAACTGTTGTGGCATTTGATCCATCTGCATTTGTGCACAAGTGACATTACAGCCCTCCCAGTACTTCCAAATGCACAGGGAGGAAAATCATTTCAGCCCAAGTTCAGAAAGCCCTTCCCCAGGAGTCCTGGACTGAGATCAGGTTGCACATGCTGCTGGTGGCACCTCTAATATCTTTAACTGGTGGTGTTTGCAACAGGAAATTTTATAGTAGACTTGTGTTTGCATGTATCTGATGCAATGGAGGTTTGAGAGAGCAGTGTCATACAAAACATCACCATTAGCAGCAAGTGTGGAGCTAATATTAACAAAGTGAGGATATGGGGCTGGATGTTGTGAAATAGAAATAAGTGGCATTGCCTTGTAAGAGATCCTATAACGCTTTCCTAAGTGGTCCAGTTAATGATCCACCTCAGTGCCTTGTATCCTGTGTGAGGGTATGTGGAAGAAGAAAGCATCTGTTTGACTAAAGTAACCCAATCAAGGACCCTTTCAATGCAAAAAGAGACTATTTAGAAGGACATGTAGTGACAGGACAAGGGAGAATAGCTTCAAGCTGATGTAGAGTAGGTTTAGGTTGGATATTAGGAAGAAATTCTATACTGGAGGCCCTGGCACAGGTTGCCCAGAGAAGCTGTGGCTGCCCCATCCTGAGAAGTGTTGAAGGCCAGGTTGGATGGGGCTCTGAGCAACCTGGGCTAGTGGAAGGTGTCCCTGCCCATGGCAAGGGGTTGGAACGAGGTGATCTTTAAAGTCCCTTCCAACCCCAGCCATTCTATGATTCTATGAGAGGTCACATGCACTTGCAGCCTGTTTAAAGGTTATTAAAAAACAAACAAACAAACAAACAAAAAGACCCCAAAAAACCAAACAAAAACCCAAACAACCAGCAGCAACAAAACAAACAAGGAACACCCCAACTGTGGAACTTTGTTACAGTTCAAGATTGCTTATTACAAATTATAAGAGGTGAGATGTTGCCTGCATTGTAACAGAACTCCTTTATTTTATGCCACCACTGTATGTCACTATTGAGAGAGAACAAAACAGAAAGATTTTAATGAGATTTGTGTTGCTCTGATGTGAAGGGACCTCTGTGTACAAGGTAAGCCCCCACCCCGTGTCTGTGTGTCATGTGTCCATCCTCCCCCATAGACAGTGCCATAAGGAATATCCTATATGGAAAGACCTTCTCCCCATTCCATGGTTCCACAGAACTCATTTGTCCCCCACACTGCACATCTTGTGTGTCTCTATAAAGGTCACATTTCCATTTTTCTCAGTCATCAGTGTTAGTGTGAGTGTAGGCAGTAGACTGACCAGGTGCACTCCAGAGGGAAAGTAGAAGGGAATAC